GAGGAAAAAGAAAGAAAAAGGAAAAATAGAAGAAAGAAGTTCTGTGCTGAGAAGACACAGTTTTAGGCCTTGGTTTCCCGGGACATAGTAGATTTGCATATATCCTTGGTGGACCTGGCAGGTGGGCCTCTGGGGCAGTGACCTTCACAAGCTAATGGCTGAGTTAGTAAAGGGCAGAAGAAGGCTCTACCTCAGTGATTCCCAGGAACTGCACATCTTGTCTCTGGACTGACTTGATAACTACCTGTTTGACACCGCCTTGTCTGTGCAAGACACGTCTTACGACTTAAAGCCCTCACTTTCCTCTAGGGACCCTTTTCAGCCTCCGACTCCGGGGCTGGGCCGCAGAGGTGGGTTAGGGAGTATACCCAGCCCTTCGCTGTTCTGCACTTGCATCTTGTTGACCTTTATCCCCTTGCACAAGAGAGGTGGTCAGTAGGTTTTTCAAGTTCGTACCCTTCCACTCTAGTCAGCTAGGCCCCAACCTGACGCACGCAAGCCCGAATTTCTGTGGACAATAGCACAGGCACACCCCGACATGGGAGTCGGGGGGACTTCGTAGTTTTAAGTAGTCTTAAGTCTAGCTGCCTCTCCAGACCCCAGAGTGGTTTGTACCCTTCCAGGGGCGCACCCGTCCTCCCCGGCCTCGCCGCCACCCCCTCTCCTGGCCAGCCTAGCGGACCCCACCCCCTTCTGTTCATCCTCGACAGTGGGTGGGCCCTCCGGCATTCTCGCTCGTCCATTGGCGGCGGCCGCCATAGCGTCTCGGCCCTCACGGCCCCACCATTGGCTCGCGCGGAGCCCACGTGACCAGGAGGACGAGGGGGCGGTGGTGTGGGGGGGGTTCGCAGCGAAAACAAAGATGGCGGCTGCGCCGGGGTTGGTGGCCGGGGAGGCTGCGGGCCGACGCGCGGGCCAGGCCCACTGAGGCAGCCGCACGGTGGGCAGGCTGCGAGGTTGCCGCGGCAGCGAGAAGCCGGCAGGGGCGCGCGGCGACCCTAACTTCCAGCCGGCGAGCGCGCCGGCACCCGCCCGCCGGGCCGGCCGGCCGCGATGTCCGGCGCCGAGGAGGCCGGCGGGGGTGGTCCGGCTGCGGGGCCCGCGGGTGCCGTGCCGGTCGGGGTAGGGGCCGGGCCTGGGGCTGCTGCGGGGCCGGCTGCGGCGGCTCTAGGCGAAGCTGCGGGGCCCGGGATCCCGGACGAGGCGGGCCTGGCCGGCGCTCGGCAGCTGCAAGAGGCGGCGGGCGACCCCGACGCGCCGCCCAAGAAGCGGCTGCGGGCGGCCGAGGCGGCCGAGGCGGCGGCGGCGGCGGTGGCAGCGGGCAGCGGAAAGCTGGAGGAGCGGCTCTACTCGGTGTTGTGCTGCACCGTGTGCCTGGACCTGCCCAAGGCTTCTGTGTACCAGGTAGGGCCGCCGGCCGGGCCCGGCGCCGCGTCGCCTGGAGGCCGGTGGCCGGTGGCCGGGAACCCATCCTATCCAAACATCCACCTCCCAGGCCAGCGAAACCCCGCTCCTGTGTCGAGGCTCCTTGTCTTTTCTTGCTCTGAACCTCATTTTCTGTGTTTACTTCCCGATCTGAATATTCTATCTCCACCTTAGATCTTGTCTTCACCTTCTGGTTCCTTCAGGGTGTCCCCCCCCCCCCCCATATTCCAGGTCCTTTTCAGCTGACCATGCAGAAATCTGTGAACAGGTGCCCTCCCCCCTTTTCTACTGCTCATTAACCCTGTCTCTCACTTCGAGACCCTCTGGCTGAGGAAGCTTCTTTAGTGGAGATAGGGCTCCAATTTTGGCAGCCACACCCCCACACACCCCAAGAGTGGCCTTCCATGTCTTTGAACAACTAAGTATATCTTCTTTTGTGCCCTATAGAGAGCCCTGTTTCCTTCTAAAGAAGTGGAAGAAGGGAGGGTCTCTCATCCCTTCCCAATCTTGATCTGGAGGAAATCACCTGCGACAAACGTTACTGTTTGGGTACTTTCTCCTGCCCCACCTGGTCAGGTTTCCTACTCGGGCCCACCCCACCCATGCCAAGCTGGCTTCCAAGGTTGCCAGGGCATAGGAACTTTGTCTTACCCTTTTCCATGTGAGGACCCAGTGTGTCAGTAGGACTCAGAGTGGGTCTAAGATGGCCTCTCCCAAGTAAAAGAGAGCAATGGGAACTGCCTGTCCACCTTCCTCTGGTCTCTTTCCACCTCAGTTCCCAGCCTCTATGAAAAGCAAAGCAGAGTCCCTGTCAGCTTTCTTTGTACTTACGGGAGCTAAAAGTTTCTGGTGGGGCCTGTTTCCCTGCTTTTCTTTAGACAGAGGACCTGGCTGAGGGCTAGTATAGGTCTAGCCTCTGTAGCTCTTTCCCCACCCTTCTTCGGATCTCCATGTTCTTCCTGCCTTGGCTTGAGGTTGTTGAGGGTGGGGGCATGTGGGAGGGGGATCCCAGTGACCTGAATGGGACACTCATCCTCTTTCCTACCTGTTAGGCTGGAACCAGCTGGAGGTGGCATTTTCCCCAGCTGCTGATTTGAGCACCAGTATTTACCTCTCATTTTAGGGGCCATCAGAACTTTCACACAACCAGCCTTTTTCTTGCCTTGGCTTCTTGGTCCTTCTTAGTGGCAGAGCTCCTCCTTTCCTAGGATTTAGTGAGAGTCCAGCAAGACAGGCCAATGGAAGGAGTTCCCAAGGAATTGAGGGGTTTCCTGGCTGATCCTGGCATGATGGTAGGCCACATGATACTGGCTCCTGGTCTACAAAGAGAGCCACAGTTCTGCTTCTGCCTGGAGTGACTAATAAGACCAGCTGGTTCAAACCAGTCTATACACTGTTAGGAGTTGCTCTGGCTTGGGCATCTGAAGTCAGGCATTTGAGGAGATGTAATAGAGTGGTATGAGTGGAAGGGCTGCCTTCCCAGGTACTGTCCCAGGCTGAAGGTAGCCAGGGCTTGCCTGGAAGCACACTTCGTGACCCAGAGGAACTAGGGGCCTTGACTTGGATCTGGAAGCTCTGCTGCTAGCCTCCTTCCCACCTCCCCTCTGCTAGAGCAGAGATGTTTCCCTGTCACCTGCAAAAACTGGGAGAATCCTCTAGAATATGTGATTTTGGAAGAGTCTCAGGCAAATGTTGAAACTTTGACTACCCACAGATAATATGTAAAATGGGAGTAAAGCAAGGGGAAGGAAATTTCCTAGTATCTAGGAATGCTGCCAGAAACACTTCATGGCAGTCTCCTACCATGTGCAGTGCAGCCCTGGAGGCTCCTGTTCCTGTTGCTGTCCCCACCAAGGTACCAGACCACCCTCTCCAGGGTTCTTGCCTAGTCTTCTCAGAGATCTGAACGCAGGTGTCATGGGAATATCTCTGGTCAGGATCCATTGCAGGTCAGCACCTCTGCCTGAGCTCAGCTCTTCTGTCTGCTGCTAGCCTTCTTGTCTAATTGGTATCAATGGGCTGTCTCTTTAGACCAGTTTCCACCTTCAGCTTTTGCTGGCAACATTTGCCTGTCCTCAACAGAATACTTGGCGGCACCAGCCATACTGTGCATTCAATGCTCTGCTGGGGTGAAAAGAAGTGGGAAACCTTGCTATGCCTGGCACTGAACTGTGGGGAAAACTCTCTGGGCTTCTGGAGTTGGCTGGGTGCGTGGTAATGAGAGGTTGGTTGGTTTGTTTGGTTTTGATTTCTGAAGACAGGGTTTCTCTGTAAAGTGTTTGCTGTCCTGGAACTCACTCTGTAGACCAAGCTGGCCTTGAGCTCACAGTTATCCTTCTGCCTCTGCCTCCCAAGTGCTGGGATTAAAGGTGTGCACCACCACTGCCCAGCGTCCATATGCTACCTTTCGGCCAGAGAAGTACTGGGAAGTGGACAAGAACAGATTCAAGATGTCTATGTGGGCTTATTCACACCTTTGGACCTGCAGGGCTAATTTCCATGGGCCATAGCCATACCCTGACATAAGCAGACTAGGAAATTTGTTCAGGTTCTCTGACCAAGGCCATCAATCAAGTAGCTCTTATCCTTGGGGCCTGTGTCAAGTGCTGCAGCAGGTACAGCAGGTGCATGCTTTGATGTTCTTTGTGTGGGTGTTAGGTAAGTCCTGGGCAACTGGCCTAGCAAGGTGTGTAGCCACCTTCCCGAGCCTAGGGTGGACCCTTCCAAAGTCAGGCAAGCACTATGGCAGGTGCCTGGTAGGTAGCGTGAAGGCCAGAGGGAAAACCATATAAGAACTTCTAGCTAGTCCTTGGCAGGTGGACAGGCAGTTTGCTGGCTTCCTGTTCTGGATGTATTCATGAGGCCGGAGGGCAGTGTAACCAGTGAGTAACTGAACATAGAAGTGCATTCTCTGGAGGAGCCCTGGCCTGGGATGTTGCAGCCATAGCCCGAGCCCTGACCTACTTCCCCCAGCTCTCCTGCTACAGTCCTTCACGTACAGCCCAGTATGGACCTTTGTAAGATAGACACAGCCTTGACCCTTTCCTTAGGTGTCAGCTGGGCTCAGCCCCTTAGCTCTGCATCTGACAAAGATACTGCTTCTTCCTCCCACCCTTCACAAGCTTTTGAGGTCAGGAATCAGTTAAATGGACCTGTGCCGCAGAATTCAATGGATCCAGCTCTCTCTGGCATAGGCCTAGATGACCTTCTGTGACCAGGACCCTGTGTCACTTGTTCCACTGTTGCTGCTAATTGTTTCCCACTTGAGCTGCCTTCTCTACATCTCTACCTGCCTCTGGGCTTCCTCTTGTGCCTGACTATAACAAAACCCCAACTCGGGCCTTCTATTCTCCCTTTGACAAGGATTCCCATCCTTTCCCACTCTGCCCCAGAGGATAGTTGGTATATTCTGTTTTTGCCTTTGCCTCTGATCATTGGAGACTGGGTATCTGATTGACAGAAAGCCCAGAAAACATTTGTTCCATCTCTGCTCAAGATCCCTTCTGAGATTATTTGGTGTCCAAGGGCTTTCACATACATGGCCTCAGATCCCCTGGCACTGATGGTGGTGATGGTGATGATGATTATGATGATGTTGCTTCCTCCTTTATATTTATTTTATGTGCATGAGTGTTTTGCCCATGTGTATGTATGTACACCATGTATGTGCCTGGCACCTACTGGTGTCAGAGCAAGGCTTTAAATCCCTGAAACAGGAGTTATAGGATGCCTGTAAGATACAGCAAGAGCTGTTAACTGCTGAGCCAACTCTCCAGCCCCTGATTAGTTCTTTGAGTCAGGAAAAAGCCTAGGGAAAGGACTGCTTAGGTATCCAAAGACTGTAGGCTTTCTGGAATCTAGGGTTTTGTTTTTGTTTGTGGGGTGTGTGTGTGTGTGTGTGTGTGTGTGTGTGTGTGTTGGTAGTTTGTTATTGAGTTACTTTTTAAATCTAAGCAGTGTTCATTTCTGAGTAAAAGCTACAATCTGTGGGATTGATGGGCCCCATCTGAGTCCTGGTTATAGCTAACCTACCATGGAAGACTAAAGAAAAAAGCCTCCAGGTGGCTGAGCAGTGCCTTGGTGTTCGTACTTTTGGGTACCAGTGGCTCTATCAAGGGTCTGTCAGTCTGTGATCCCCTGGGCAGGAGGGTAGGATGTTCATATATGGGTCTGGGTAACATCCATACTCTATTTTGGGTTCCCAATGTTTGCCAGGACCATGTTTTCCAGGCTTGAAAGATTCTGACTGACCACAGGGAACTTGTAACCAACTCCAAGTTGTGGAAGGCCCATTTCTAAGACCTGCTCATGACTTAGGAGCAGGACTTCTCCTTAAGCATAGCTATTCCATCTAGCTGCCTCACCCAAATGAGAACCCAGCTCAACTAGAACACTTCTGCCCTGGGCATGCATAGGCTAGGCACCTATGAGCTGCCTACAGGTTAAAAGATGGAAGGGCTAGGTCTTGGATTTGGGGGGTATAAAAGCAATAGCTATTTCTGAACAATTTAGAGGATCCTGGGACCTCAGTACCCTGAAGATGGAGCTCTAGAAGCTTTGACATGGATAACTGCAGAGGTGGGATTTGTCCTGAATCTTTTGTAATCTATGAGTGTCAGTTTTTCCGCAAACCATTCCCCCCCCCCCCCCCATAGCATCTGATGCCTGGGAAGAAACTGAGACCTATAGAGAAAAGATAAGTCCAAGACCATGCTGTTGGTGACCTCTGGGCTGAGGCCTGAGTTCAACCCTGTGAGCTCCAAGTCAGTGTCTGTCATAAGAGGACCTGGAAAGACCTGCAGCATCATTATGGGTAGAAGTCCAGAGTTTGTGTGGTGGTGACGGGATGGCAGCCTGGCCTGGCCACTGCAGGAGCAGTTTTTTTGGAGGTGCCTAGGCACTCAACTAGCACCATAGAGTGATCTGTGGCCAAGCTTCTGAATATGCAGTGGGTACAAGTCAGGATAGGTGCAGTCTGTCCAGCTAAGGCTAAATATGGCTGTCCTGGGTTTACTATTTGAAGTTAGGTCTTTCCAGGAAGCTATGCGAAGGCTCCAGATTAGCCTGTTATTCACGTAGAGCTTACCTAGAGGCTATCCCTTGAATGGCTACTGAGGGGCTCCAAGTGGGTGCCTTAGCCCTTAGCTGGGCCAGTGTGCTACAGAACATCTTGGGACTTATTCTTCCACTCAGAGCTGAAGTGTTAAGGCCCTGACACCCCACTTTTCCCAGTAGTTGCAGACTCCCCCTAGAGGAAAGCAGGGTTAGCACTACTTCCTTGTGGTATGGAATTGATTTGAATCTGGAATTTGTAGGAGAATGTGCCCTATGGCCAGACCCAGCCCAGGTTCCAGTTGCTTTCAGGGTAGGGAGCAGGAGTGATTCTGAGAAGTAGTGATAGGATTGGCAGTCTCAGCTCCCATTAGGAGGGCCCAGGACTTCTTTTCAAATCCTCCTGGGCTGAGATTAGGAGCAAGTGTCCTCAGCCTGGCTTAGAAACATTGAGAGAATCAGGCTGCAGCCAGGAAAAATACTGTTGCCCCTCTACTCAGGGTGTAAACCCTGAAAGTGACAACAGACCTAGGCCTAGAGCCTCATCTCCAAGCCTCAGGCAGGATGTCACCAGAAAGTGACTAGAGCTATATACACAATATAGTGGGCCTGCAACGTCCTCGGGAATTTTAGTGCTTGCTTGTGTCTTGCTGAGTGAACTTCTTTTTTTTTTTTCCTTAAGCAAGGTTCCCCCATATAGTCGAGGGTAGTCCAAAAATCACTTTGTATTTCAAGCTGGCCTCAAAAAGTCCTGCCTCTGCCTCCTGAGTTCTGAGCTTACACCAATCCTAGTTCTGGGTAGAGTTCTTAGAGGGTGCTATGTGGTCACATCCCACTTCTATGGAGCACCCTGAGAATGCCTCTCTGAAATAGATGAACATTTAACTTTGTGTGGTATTCTCTCCTGCCTTCCAAAAGGAACAGTAGTCATTGTCCCAGGAAGTCCCCAGGCAGATGGAGGATAAAAGGACTGTGACTTGGACCCTTGATCAGCACCTGCCACATCTATACCCAGCTCCAATCCTAAGTCCATTCCCATTGACTTCTAGGGATAGACACCATGTCCACCTCAGGTAGATGATGTGTCTGGACCTGGTTCTGGCTGGGCCCTGCCATGTCCTCTTCATCCAGGCTCAGCTCAAGCAGGCTACTCTCCTCATAGTGCATGTTTCAATCTTCAAGAAACTTAGGTTTGGTTGTAGATAATCATGGAGTGCCCTCTGTGGGCATAGATTCCACATTAGGCCTCTATCACCATCAGTCTTCAGCATGTAGATTCCATTACCCACTGAGGACCCAGAGAGCCTGCTGAAGCAATAAGATGGCACCTAAGGTTTTTTAAGCATGGCAGTTATGCAGATGTAACCTGGCATGGCCAGGCCGTGGCTGCGTGTGTCTCTTTCCCTAATGCACACTGTACAGAGTAGCCTCAGCATGGTAGGCCTGATATATTGGTCTCTCCTTTAACACTGAGTCTCTCACAGTGTGGAAGCCCACCCTGGCATAGGGTTCTCAGCCCATTCCGTATATTGTGGCACCAAATGGTACTCAGTACATATTGCGTCAGTAAGAGACCTAGGATAAAAGTAATTCCAGCAGTGTGTGTCTGTATAAGCAAGGAATCCCAGCTGCCAGGTCTGCTCCTGCTGATCCCTTATATCAGCTCAGTTCAGTACCAGGTCCTGCCTGCCTTCAACATGAGCCAGCGTAGTTTTCTGCCTGCTGTAAGCTCTGTGCCATTGGCTCTGGAGCAAGTACCCTCCCTTGTCGAAACTGCAGATTCTCACCTATGTTTATCAGCAAGGGCTGATATAGAGGGGCCAGGGTTGACCTCAGCCCGAGCCACTGCTAGTCCCCACATGAACAGCCTTTTGGAAGCCAAGGGAAAAATGCCCACCTCAGCAGTAACCATGACCCCATGAACAGCTGCTGGCTGGGTGCCCCTGCATGGTCAAGCCAAGAGCCAGTATTCTATAATGGGAAAAGTGGGAAAGCCAGGTTCCAAGCCCAGGTGTGGTCAAGTCAGTTGCCTGCCAGGCCTGCTTTAGATGTAGCCAGCACCCCCATGACCTGATAAGACCCTGCTCTTCACAAACCAGAGCTAGCTCTCTCTGGCATGACAGTTCAAGCAGCTCTCAGTGTTTGCTAAATACTAGCAAGACTTGGGAATCAGCAGGCACTCCTCACCTAGAGTCCCACAGGACAACCATCTGACTGGAGCCAGCAAGCGTGGGTGGGCACGTGTGCGTGCAAGTATCCCACAGGTCTGAGCTTCCCCTCCCTCTCCTTCTCCGCAGTGCACTAACGGTCACTTGATGTGCGCTGGCTGTTTTATCCACCTACTAGCAGATGCCCGGCTGAAGGAGGAGCAGGCCACGTGTCCCAACTGTCGCTGTGAGATCAGTAAGAGCCTCTGCTGCCGGAACCTGGCTGTGGAGAAAGCTGTGAGCGAGCTGCCTTCAGAGTGTGGCTTCTGTCTGCGTCAGTTCCCTCGCTCCCTTCTAGAGAGGCACCAGAAAGAGGAATGCCAGGACAGGTAACCATGGTGAAGGTGTGGCCTTGAGCCCTGGGGACCACATCTGCAGCCCAGTGATAACCCTGTAGACCCCAGGTAGTAAGAGCATGCCTTTCTACAGAAGACAGGGTCTGTACTAGTTGCTCTCTGGAGATGATGTTGGCCCTCTAGGATTCTCTGTGGCTATTGGGGTATACCTTTGAAAGGCCCACTACACCAGGATCAGTTCAAAAGCTCTGGAAAGTTTGAGTGAGACTCTTTTGTTTGGCAACCCAGTCCCAGCATATAGAAACAGCCACTTGCTTGGCAAGGGCCTGGCACTAAGAGCTTTCCTAATATAAGGCTATATGGAGTCACTTACTGCCAGGCAGAAAGACATCAGTAGTGGGCACAGGAAGCATGCTGGCTAACAGCTGTAGAGCCTTTTACTCTTTCAGTCTCCTTCAGCCTCTCATATACATGCCTGCACATGCTCTAAGTGGATGGGCTTACAATTCAGCATGTCCTACAAGGAAGGGTTTGTGCTTGGGCAGAAGTAGTCTCTAAAAGAGTACTGGGCATGGCCATTTGCTCCAGCCACAGACTTGACCACTATTCTCACCTTCCAGGGTGACACAGTGCAAGTACAAGCGTATTGGCTGCCCCTGGCATGGCCCTTTCCATGAGCTGACAGTGCACGAAGCTGCATGTGCCCACCCAACCAAGACAGGCAATGAGCTGATGGAGATCCTGGATGAGATGGACCAGAGCCATCGCAAGGAGATGCAGCTCTACAACAGCATCTTCAGCCTGCTCAGCTTTGAGAAGATTGGGTACACAGGTGAGGCACCCCACATTCCCCTGCATGCCACACAGGTGTTGTTCGGGGCTAAAGGGCTATAGCCAAGAGCCAGGGTGGCAGTAGGCTCTGGGCAGTGGGCACAGGCTGCGCCGATGGCCAGGCTCTGGACAAGCTCCAGATGGGCAGAGAGATGCTTTGGGGAAGAAGATAGGTTGGAGATTTTGCAGAAACAGGGGTGCACCTGCATGGCTTTACAGAGGTCCTTCCTACCCGTCCTTTCCCCCCTTGCCCACCACCCCAGCAAGAGGACCCCCTCACTGTATGGGGGCTCTAGCTTTACAGAGGTCCTTCCTACCTGTCCTTTCCCCCTGCCCACCACCCCAGCAAGATGAACCCCCTCACTGTATGGGGCTCTACAGATTTGGAATGGTTGGTCTAACTAGAAAATTGGGTATGTTTTGGGCAGTCTGGGAGTCTGGGGCCTTACCTTTGGAGCACGGAGCAAGAAGAACATTCCTTCAAGTCAGGTCCTGTCTGCAGATGTTCACTGAAGGCCACAGGGCCTCCTGAGACTGACAAGAAACTGTTCGGGGACAGGGCTCCAGAACAAGCTGAGGGTCTCAGCTCAAACTATAGAACTGGGAGTGGATGCCCACCAATGAGTAGGCTGGACTGGGCCTATGCTCACTGGATCTCATGGCTCCCAGGCATCTGCCACCAGCTTTGAACAGATCGGGGAGCAGGAGCCAGGCCACAACTTGGGCCAAAGAACAAGAAGCACCTGCTGATACTGGGGCCACTCAGGGAAACTCCATTCCCTCTACTGCTCAGCCTACAGCAGGTGGCCAGCTCAGAGCGCCCAGGCAGGCTTGGACAGCCAGTCATGCTGTGTTGCCTAGACTAGCCCAAACAGGCCTGAGATGCAAAGAACCCAGGGGCCTGCACCAGCAGAGAACTATGGCTCTTGGTTAAGAGTAGCCTTGGCTGAGCTCATGGCCTGTGGGGTCTGGGTGGGCCAGGCCAAGTGGCTACAGCAGAGGCTGGGTGGGAAGCCCTGTCCATGAAGGAAGGCCCGGCTGCCTAAGAGCCCACACATCCGCAGCAGGACGCGCCAACCACAGGACTGCAAAGGCGGGTCTGCCTGCTAAGCGACAGCCCCACAGACAGCCGGGCAGAATCCACATCACAGTACAACATCGAGGACTTGGCACTCCCCTTGGGCAAGACCAGATACCATGTGCCCACCTGCCGGCTTTTCTGGCAGCTTTGTATCAGAACTAATAAAGTGCACTTGTTCTCAGAACTGTATCCTGTCTGTGTGTCTGCTTACCCCGCCCCTCCGGGGACAGGGGCTGAGGGTAAGGAGGGTGGCTCTGTGGGTTGGCCACACCTGGGCCACGTGGCCTAATGTCCACAGCCTCAGGACTCTCCAGCTAATTGGTGTTAATTCTGTTTGTAGTTGTTCCCCCAAAGCTTATGCACTTCCATTTGCCATAATTGCGTTTGACTTGCCTTGTGACAAGTAGAACACGCTGTCTGGGTAAGTTGCCTTCCTCCCTGGCTGAGCCTGTCCTTGGCCTGTCGGGGAAGGCGCCACCCCCTGGCCCTCCCCCGCACTAACAGTTGGCTGTCTGGCCCTGTCTGTCTCCACAGAGGTTCAGTTCCGGCCTTATCGCACTGATGACTTCATCACACGCCTGTACTATGAAACACCACGGTTCACAGTACTGAACCAGACATGGGTCCTGAAGGCTCGTGTGAATGACTCGGAGCGCAACCCCAACCTGTCATGCAAGCGCACACTTTCCTTCCAGCTACTCCTCAAGAGCAAAGTCACAGCGCCCCTGGAATGCTCTTTTCTTCTGCTCAAGGGGCCGTACGATGACGTGAGGATCAGTCCTGTCATCTACCACTTTGTCTTCACCAATGAGAGCAATGAGACAGACTATGTGCCGCTGCCCATCATCGACTCTGTGGAGTGCAACAAGCTGCTGGCCGCCAAGAACATTAACCTGCGGCTCTTCCTGTTCCAGATACAGAAGTAGGATGGGCCCCGGACACCTGAGGAGCAGAGGGCTGCAGTCCAGTAGTGCTGTCCCACCCATCCCTGGCTTGGCAGCAGCTTCACACAACTATCTGATCGTTTTAGCAAAGGAGGAGAACAAACAAAATCAAACACTAAGAAAGTCTGCATGCGTGTGCAACGGGGTCCCTGCCTCTGGCTCAACTTCCTCCCCTTTGCCTCCCACCTCCTGCAGGCAGCCAGAGGCTGGGCTGACCACAGTGGAAACAGTACTCTGGGCTCCTCAGGTACAGGTGGCAAGGAGGGCAAGAAGCCGACCGCCCTTACCCCAGCTCCCATCCTCACATCGAGGTGGCACGGTGGTTCCCTGGCCGGGCTCAGGGTCCCTGGCTGACTTCAGACAGCATATTTGATTGCAATTAAAAAGGCAGCCTTGTTTCCTACTTTCTGTTTTGTTGGAGGGGAAGGCGTGGCCGTGATTGGACTTCATGAGAGATTTGGTTTGGCCTGGTGGTCAGAACCTGCCCTGCCCCTGACACTGCACCTATGTGTGCATCCCAGGAGAGACTTCAGAGACACCTCCCCTGACAGTCTTATCAGAGGGGTTGGGACTGAGACCTGGCCAGTGAGCCAGAGAGGGTTGGACTCCCCGAGCCATTGACCACTCAAAGGAAGCAGGACTTGGCTAGTAGGGCTCAGCAAATGTTTTCGGAATGCAGGGTGAAATTCTGTCTCTTCCAGGAAAAAATTAAGCTACAGGCTCTTTAAGTGATGCAATTTTAGTGAGAAAGAATCAATTTGCTTTACTCAGTAGAGAGGGCCAGGTGTCCTCAGGTTGCCAAGGAGGCAGCCACTGTCTGTGAGACCTGCATTTAGTGGTGGTGGGGGCACCACAGGACCAAGGCAGAGCAGCGTGGTCTGTTGCCTCGGCAGCGTAGGCCTTTTCCTTGCTAGGCCATTCACAGATGCTCTGAGTAGTGGTTGTAAGCAGAGCAAGTATTAGGGCCTCACAGAATATGGAGTAGCCATGCTTGATAGGGCTAGGCCCTGGTCCTTTCTTCAATTCCTCAGAGATACTGAGAAGTGTAGGACTTGCCTCCTTCAATCTTTGCTTAGGAGATGAGGCTTTTCTATCATAGCTTTTCGTTGCTTTAATACCAAAGAACCGGTTTCCTCTGCCCTAACCAGACCTTCACATGCCTCTTAGGTAGTTCCTATCACCCCATGCAAACTGCCTGGGCCTGGGCCTGGGCCTGAACTGCCCTGCGCCTTCCAGGCTAAGGGACAGGGTAGCCCTGGCCATGTGGGTGCGAGTACTGATGTTCCAACCTGACATTCAAGAGGGCAAAGGGCTGAGCAATGTGGAGAGACAAACTGTGACACAGAATACAGGCCCCATCTGTTTTCCTGAGCACAACCAGGAATAGGCCAGTGTGGCCCTGCTGCCTTCTCATAGGCTGAAAGTTTTTCAGCACCTTGTTTGGCTTCCTGTGTGGGGCTTGGAGTTCTCTTCTGCAAATGTTGCCTGGCCAGGAGGGTTGGCAAGGCCCATATTTAGCTTCTGCCTACTACAAAGGACCCATGCCAAACTCCAGCACATCCATGGGAGCCTTTGACTCAAATACAGGTCCTAGATCTCTGCCCTAGGGGCAGCTCTTCAAGCATGTTCACCTGGCACAGAGGATCTTTGGAAAAACAGAGGGTTCTCCTCTGAGCGTTCCTATAGATTGCAAAGTGTTGGTGGAAAAGGCAGGGCAGGGCCAGCTTGCCCTAAGAGTCCATGTCTGGATGTGTGAGATGGACAAAAAGCAGCCTGAAGGTCTCCTGGGAAGAAACAGGATAAGAGGCTTATTCCCCATGGGCACAAGCCAACTGGGACACAGTGGGCATGAGGAGTAAAGCTGGGCCGGCAGGGGCTCAGAGGCAACAGAGCTTTGGGTATTTGTGCATGGAGCCGAGGCATACCCCAAAGCACACAAACGGTTAGGGGTGGGGCAGTGCCCACCTAGGGTTGTAGTGTGTCTGAGAGTACCTAGGAGAACTGATAAGGCCTCCCAATGACAGGCTCAGCATAGACCCTACGTTGTGACTGTCACGTGCAGCAGCTGAGCCTTCCAGCCTAAGAGGAACCAGACATGCAGAAGACTAGTATGTCTCTTGCCTGTGCTAGGGACTCCATACAAACCTTTCAGCATTGTCCCTCTGGGCCCTTTCTTTAGGGGGGAGGGGTACCATATTTACTGGCTTGTGCCCAGAATCTTGTTACCTTACTGTCCTAACCTGGTTCTCTTATCTGTTGTCTCTGAGGATGGGAGAGGGGTTCAGCCTCAGTAGGTATTGGGGAGGCTGCCAGAAGGGGTTGCATAGGCCAAGCCAGGCCTCGCCCTCCTTCCACCTGTCTCATCCCCGCTTCCTGTGAGCACCACATCCTTCAGTTTGCCCAAAGTGAGACATTTACAAAATAAAAATAATTTTCTAAAGAGCAGAGCAAGAAGTGTTTTTATGGTTGTGGAAATGTCGTACGTGTCAGTTTTGTGGTTTGCATTTTCTTTTGAGTATTTTCTGTATGTACCTATAGTTAAAAAAATATTCCAAACCATGCTTTGTCTGTGTTTCCTTACCAGAAGACAGCCCCATGATAGGGCTTCCTCTGCTCTGCTATGCTGCTGATCAGCCTGTGCCCCACTCCCAGGCCTACAGCTCTGTGACGCACCTGGATAAGAGAAGTTGGATTGCCTCTAAGGGGAAACTGAGTCTACAAAGTTGTCTCTGACTCACACTCATACCATTAGTGCCCCTTCAGCTAATAATAATAAAGTTGTTTGTTTTTTTTTTTTTAACTGCTTGTAAAAGATAGTTTTTCTGGACAAGTCACAGTCTTGGAAGACGTGTTTACTCAATACAGAACACATTAGAGCAGCCGATACAATAGGCTGATATTGTATGAACCCTAGGACTTGAGGGAAAGCATAGTCTTCCCATTCCACCCTTCATCTCTTACTGTGCCCCACACACACCTCACCAGCCTGACTTCAGAGGCATGCTTTGGATGGGGAAAAGGCTGGCACTGTGAGCCCCCCTAGCTATGCTGGCATCCTGGGACCATTAAGGCCTAGTCTAAAACTGGCCCTTCATAGAAGGTCCTACCTGCATCTGATTTTCCTTTTCACCTGCACAACTCTGCAAGAATGATCCTACCACATCCTTGCAGCCTTTAGGTAGTAAGACAAAACCCTGCCCATCCCCCACCTACAGCAGGAGGCTTATAAGGTTAGCTGGGTCAGGAGGCCCTTTCTCAGCCTAGCTGTCTTCCACATCCCTCTTCCCAACAGATGTCCTCTCGCTGGGTGTTTCATGCCACTGTTTTTGGAGTTAAGGTTGATTTGGTTTGGTTTGAGACAGGATTTCTACATAGTCCTGGCTGTCCAGAAACTATGTAGATGAGGGTACAGGCCTTGAACTTACTATGTGGATCAGAGTACGGGCCTTGAACTCAAGAGATCTACCTGTCTCTGTCTCCCAAATGCTGGATTAAAGGTGTGCTCCCATTGTTTTTATTACAGTAGAGAATAAACTTGTTTGCCTGTAAGTGTGGCGCACACATGCTGATAATCCCAGCACTTGGGAAGTGAAGTCGGAAAGATGAGGAGCTCTAGGTTATCAGCCACATGTTGAGTGTGAGGCGGGTCTGGGATCCATAAGACCCTGACTCAACAAGACAAAGGAGGGGCTGGAGAGATGGCTCAGAGGTTAAGAGCACTGTCTGTTTTTCAGAGGTCCTGAGTTCAATTCCCAGCAACCACAGTGTGGCTCACAACTATCTATAATGTGACCTGGTGCCCTCTTCTGGCATGCAGGCACACATACAGATAAAGCATTCATACATAAAATAAGATCTTTTAAAAATTATTTGAAAAAACAAAAAAGAGACTCCTCTGTGTCTCACACCTATGGCTTTGTGGGATCCTTCACTGGGGCCTTCAGAACACATCTTGGTAGATGCTAACCATTCAGCTTGCTTAGCCAGGAGAGAGAGCTCCAAGTGACGGCTAGTGTTTGGTCTTCAAAATAATGGAGAAGTGCCCCAACCAAATCACAAGATTCCAAATACCCTTTGCAGGTGAGGAATCTGAACTGTTTTCAGTTCTCCAGCTTAGAATCTCAATTAATTGCCTTTCGATACAAAGCTATGCAGTTTTCAGATGTTTTCACTGAATCTTCTGGGAATACTGATATCCACAATAGAAGAAACTTTGTTCTGCTTAGTTCAGAAAGCTCAATTGCCCTTCTATCCAGAACCCTTCTGTGCCCTTTGCATGTGGGTTGTTGTCCCCCAGGGCATCTGACAGATCCATTAAGTCCAAATACCCAATTATATGAATCACTTTATTTGTATTGCATTGCTTGTTTTTTGTTAGTTTTTTGAGGCAGAGTTTGTCCTCATACCCTGGACTCACTTTGTAGACCAGGCTGACCTCGAACTCACAGAGATTTGCTTGCCTCTGCCTCCCTGAGTGCTGAGATTACACGCCACCGTGCCCAGCTATTGCATTACTTTTTAAAAGTTACAAGAATAGGGGCTGCAGAGCTGACTCAGTAGTTCAGAGTACTGGCTAGAGTTTTCTTGAAGAAAACCCTGGTTTGATTTTCAACACCCACATGGTGGTTCACAACTGTCTGTTCCACCAGTTCTTTCTTTTTCTTTTTCATTTATTTATTTTTTTTTTTATGTGCATTGGTGTTAAGCCCGCATGCATGTATTTGGGAGGGTGTCAGATGCCCTGGAACTGGAGTTACAGACAGTTCTGTGCTGCCATGTGGGTGCTGGTCCTGTGGGTGCTGAATTGAACCCAGGTCCCCTGGAAGAGCAACCAGTGCTCTTTACTACTGAGCCATCTTTTCAGGCCCCTCTACTACCAGGTCAAGGGGATGCCTTCTGGTTTCCATGGGCACTAGGTACACAAATGGTACACAGGCACGCAGGAAAAATACCCATACACATAAAATAATAATTAAAAAATTCAAAGGTAAAACTTATTAGCATAGTAGGTGTGGTGGTCCAGGCCCAAAGGCCCAGCATGCAGGAGGCAGAAGCAGGGGGATCTCTGAGTCCAGACAGGACTACACAGAGATCACCTGTATTTAAAAAAAAATGTTTTTACAAATGTAAATAGGTGATATGTGCTTTAATTTCTAGAAGAAGTGGGTGTAACATTATAGATCACCTGTAATTTTAAAAAAGTCAGGACGTGAGCCCGAAAGTTGGCCTGGTTGTTAAGAGCATATACTGCTCTTTCACAGGACCCAAGTTCAGTTCGAAGCACACATACTGTGACTCATACCGTAACTCATGTCCCAAGAGCCCTCTTAAGACCTCTTCCGGCACCAGACACGAGGGAGGTGCACATACATACATGTAGGTAAAACACGTACATAAAATAAAATACATTGGAGGGTTGTGTCTCTCTATGTACCATTGGCTGTCCTGGAACTCGCTCTGTAGCTCAGGCTGGCTTTGAACTCGCAGAGATCTGCCTGCCTCTGCCTACTGAGTGCTGAGATTAAAAGCCGGAGCCACCACTGCCCAGCTCACCACCTAATAAATCTTTAAAAAACAAACAAACAAACAAACAAACAAACAGGTAGACTCCAGAATAGCAGGGTCAGTGCCCCAGCCAGCGGCCACATGTTGGCTGCAATCCAGGGCACTGTCTGCCAGGGGCCTTGAAGGCTCGGATCCCATCCTACAGAAGTTCTGCTCCCTCATTGCGCCAGGCTTGAGCCGGTCGGACTACAGTTCCCAGGAGTCCTTGGGAGAATTATTGCTTCCATCAAGCTCTAGCGCGCTGAGTCTACCGAAGGGGCGGAGTTAGGCCGTGCGTGTTGGTGGGTGTAGCAAGGGAAATGGGCGTGGTCTCACTGAAGCGCGGGAAGTGCAGATTTTCGCGGCGGAGGTGGCTGTGTGACTATGACCCTGGAACAGGAGCTTCGCCGTGAGTATTTTGGGGGCATGCGTATCGGGAGCGCAGGGAGTGGGTCGGGTCCCGGGTTAGCCCTGATTCTCTCCTCCGGCAGAGCTAGGCAAGGCCAAGGCCAGGGCCCAGAGGTATGGGCAGCTGCGCGAGGAGGCGGTCTACTGCCACCAGCTGGGGGAGCTGCTGGCTAGCCACGGTGAGCCTGAGCGGTGAGAGGGCTGGCTGGGCGGCAGGGGACTGGCTGGGTGACGGCCCACCTTGAGCACCCTACTCCCCAATTCGGACAGGCCGCTTCATGGAAGCTTTGGAGGAGCACAAGCAGGAGCTACATCTGCTAGAGAGCGTCCAGGACACCCTAGGCTGCGCTGTGGCTCACCGCAAGATCGGAGAGCGGTTGGCCGAGATGGAGAATTACCCTGCTGCTCTGAAGGTACAGAGCCTTCACTTATTGGACCTACGTGTGGAGGAGAGAGGGCCAGTGTGCAAAGGAGTGTCCCCAACAGCTGACAGGACAGGCAGCCACACCCTTAGGCCTACCTCGGGTGCTGCCTGGTTCTTGGTCGGTACTTGTAGGCTTGAATGGGTTTGTGACAACCAAAACTACTAAGGAACTATGGCTTTTTGTCCTGTGGAAAGAGGAAGAATCAGGACCCACTGCTATCGGGAGCAGGAAGCTCTTAGTGATCTGGCATGACAACACTGGCTTGTTGCAAGGCAGAGCAGACAGTCCTTGGCACAGAAATGTGTGTAGCCAACTCTGTCAAAATGTGGGGAACGGAAGGTTCTCTTGAGTGTCTTCCCCTGGTACCAGGCGGCCCGGTTTACTTGAAGCAGGATCACTTCAAAGGTGTTTTCTTTCCACACTAGCACCAGCATCTCTACCTGGACTTGGCTGGGTCCCTCTCCAACCACATCGAGCTGCAGAGAGCCTGGGCCACCATTGGCCGCACCCATCTAGAGGTATATGATCACTGCCACTCAAGAGATGCCTTGCTGCAGGCACAGGCTGCCTTTGAGAAGAGCTTGGCCATTGTGGATGAGAAACTAGAGGGTAGGTGCCCTTTTCCCTGGATTCTCCCCTTATTCTGCTTTCTTGGCCCTCCCTTTTCAAGGCCTGTGCCACTCACCAACTTGAACCTGTTGGGCATCTGCTCCTTCTCTGTATACTTTATCTGCAGCAGACTCCTGGTTCCCTCAGTAAGAGATAGGATGGGAGCACCTGAAAACCCCATTCTCTTTCAGGGACGCTGACGCAGCGAGAACTGAGTGAGATGAGGACTCGACTCTACCTCAACCTGGGCCTCACCTTTGAGAGTCTTCAGCAGACAGCCCTGTGTAACAACTACTTCAAAAAGAGCATCTTTCTTGCTGAGTGAGGAGACACCATCCCTGTCCCCAAGAGGGAGTGGGTTGTCCCCTGGGATCCTTCCAAGAGGGCAGCTTATCTAAGTTGTTCATTTTTTTTTAAATTATTGGTGTTTTGCCCACATGTAAGTCTCTGTGAG